TACAGTTCTCAGCACTGATGCTACAATAACACCATCAATTTGGTGACAGTGAATCATGATACAGGCTGGTGGAAATGAAAGCATTAACAGTACATGTCACTATTAGAAACATAATTAAAGGCTTTTGAAAAATTTCACTCCAGGCAAATGAATTTGACTTTGCTTCCAGCTTTCCAGAAACATTATCTGGAATTACCACTTCAGCAACAACCCCATCCCCACACTTGCCAGCTAGGGTCTCACACTCACTACTAGCAAGCGCATTTTATATTCTGTTCTGGAGAAGGGCGAAGTATTAAACTGAGAAAAACAAAACCTCACTACATTGAACGAGCCATAACATTTTCCTAGTACGATTGTTTATACCAGCTTGAGAAGTGTTTCCAATAAACACAAGGAAGCAGGACTCCCTGTGCACAGAATGCAGAAAGCAGCAGTGAGCCTTTGGCTGGATGGCAAGGGTGTGCCGGGCCACATGTCTGCAGGCAGGAACAGCCGCTCAGGTGGGTGTGCGTGAGCTGGCTCTAATCTGTCCATCTCAAGCACCGATGGTGTTGCAGCTGTGGTATGGTGTTTCAACCACATGCTTTACCTGCAGACCGACCCAAGAAGGTGCCACCACCTGCGATGACTGTCACCAGAGCTGTCACCAATCATGCCTCTACCTGCCGCACAAGGACAGCTCAAAAGGAAATGCTACCACCTACCAGTGCTGGCATTTCCAGAGAACTCCAGGCTGCAGTGGTTAATTGTGCAGTTTTGTACATTTGTATCTAATCAGTTAAAAAGGAAAACTGGCTCCACACAAGTGTTATCAAAACCCAAACCAAATGTCTCCCTGCAGTCTTCAGAGCTGCTTGTTAACAGACAAAGCCACATAGACAAAAAACACCTTTAAAACCTGCATTTCAAACTGGCATTTCTTATACTGTATATCTACCCACATCTGACAAGTCCAACTTCACAGTAATGCAGCTTTGCTGCAAGTTCTACTCATAAAACATGTCCACATGCCCCCATTCACCCTAAACTCTTGTCCAGATGCTGAATTTTAGAATTTTTGTGGATGCTAAGCGCAGAAGCTTTTGAATGCCACATATGTTTGACCTTATTTTTAGGCTAATGCTCACTTATGGAAATGGAAATGCCATGCTAAGTGTTACTACCTTACAAAAATAAATGGAAAGCTATAGGAAACAGACATCCCATTTTACAGAAGACATTTTAATTGAAGTGTAACCTTACACATCCCCAAAGCTTAGGGAAGAAAAAAATTAATTCCTCAAATTAAACTTTTATGCTTAAAATCGTATTAATCTGCAAGATAGGTAGGTGGTCCCAATGCTCAAAACCTTCACAAATCATCACAGCTTAGTGATGAACACAGAGGAACAGTCCATCTTGTCGAATCCAAACTGGTGTACCATTTTATCCACGTTCATGAAATCCTAGCTTTCAGGCAGAACTGATCCAGGAGAAACAATCCTTTCATTTCACAAGTAGATGCCTATACCACACTGAGACAGCGAAGAGATTGATGTCTCTCTCACATTCAGGTTTAACTGAGTAAAATAGGTAGAAAAGAATCGCATGATAAACATAAGCGGTGTCTCAAAACTCACACTACGCAAACTAGAGTCCCCTGAGCCAGTTATAGAATGCTGCTGCAATAAGCAATTCCCATTAATAAAGAAAAATGTTTCTAATTCACTGTGAAATAAACTGAAATGAAAAGCAATATTAACTCATCCTTCCAGTGCTGCCTTGCATCAGAATTAAGACAGTGATACCATCACCCTCTAGCACTAAAAGCTGTTTCTAACAATTCAAATACACTCAGAGTAATTAAAGACCACAATGTGCTAAAACCTTCAGTGCTTCCATAACAGCACTTTTTACTAACAGGGTGAGGCAGAAACATCAGCTCTTTTTGAATTTAAATTCTGAGACAGTACCTGCATAAGAAATGTTTTAAACAGTGGCCCAGTCCTGGTTCAATAGAAAAAAATAATCCTGGTGGCTTTAAAGGAGCAGAACTGAGCCTAGAAAAGTTGCACAAAGTGCATCCTTTGGTCCTACAAAATTCATATGAACTAACTTTGCTAAAATGTTTCTGTAAGAGCAAGGAAAACAGGCTTTAAATACATAAATTACAGGCTTAAAGAGGAAATGCATCATTTACCCGCTGTGGAGATGGAAGGAGGAGTAAAGGGCCATATTGAAAGCAAGGGAGATGTCAGCTAAATATCAGAAACAATTAAGAGCCAGGTCTGTAAATTACAGGAAGTGATCACCCAGGGAAGCAGTGGATCCCCAGCACCCATATTGTTAAGAGTGCATTGGGTAAAGCATCTGCCAGAAAGGCACAGGCGCCTTCCAGCAGCGAAAGGTAGAGAAGGTCCCTTCCAACCTTCTCATCTACAGTAAACTTAAGAGAGATGCCACACTGGAGGAAGACTGCAGCGTACTGCAGCATGGCATATGGAGACTGTTCCCAACCTGTGTGAGCATTAGATTGAAATGAAGTAACTAACAATGAAGAGAAGCAGCCTGATCCAGCAAGTAGGACACTAAGTTCAGACCTGGGAAGCTGGAGCTTAGCCTGAAGGTTGCACCTGAGGAGGCCAGAGCCCATCACCACCCCCACACACACACACACGCAGCAGCTCTCCCCCTCTCATCCTTACTCTGCTCCAGCTTTCTCGTGCAGGGGCGGTCTGAGGGCATGGCTGGGTGAGGCTGAGAGCAAGCAGAGAATTGGACACGCGTCAGCAAAATAAACATGCTGAAAATACATCAAGAAGTGTGGTTGCCCATGAACTTTTACAACCTTGGTAATGCGTTCAATAGTGTTTTTAGATCGAGTGGGTGGAAGAAAGGGGAGGGCGGCACACCACATTCGGGGCACTATTACTCAAATACAGCTTATTGATGGCTCACAGTCAAATAATTTTGAAAGCATACAGGATCGATGCACCAACTAGCACAGCCCACAAGAGGGGACTTCTTGGGGGAGCTCTCACAGAGACCATCAAAATCACAGCAAACAAAAAATGGTTTTCATAATGTCATAAAGCATTTCAGTATGGGAGACATATGGGAGTCTTAAATAGCCAAACAGAAAAATATCACTGTGAGTTTCTAAGAATTATAGTTGATTGGAGGGGGATTGAGGGTAGGAGCAGTTAGTGTACCCAGAATCAAGTACTGGGGTTTGGGCCCAGACAGGAAGATGTGTTGGGCCATAGGATAGGATCTGGGGAACCCCTGAAAGATTAGGTCACATTTTGTACAGACAAACAACGGGCAGCCCCAATCAAAAAGTTATCTCTAGGGTTTTAAAAGGCTTAATTTCACATGGCTGAAGAAAATTTTACTGAACTAATTGGAAGAGAAAATGCAGAGGAAATAAACAGGACTGAAAACAGACAGTACTTTAAAAATAATTCATTAGAAGGCTGAGAATTCATGTTTCTGTGAGAGGGCTGTTTTAACTAAACCCTTGCTGATCAGTAACTGTGTAGGTCAGACTAAATGTTCACAGTAAAATTTTTAAATCGTGATATAAGAAATGTTATTTTTAAGTTATTCCAGAAATAACATGAAATTGTGCGTTTGTATTAGACGAAAGAAAAAGAAGATATTAAATAACATTTCCTTGGGTTGAACACGTAAATCAGACCACTCAGCCCATTTGAACTCATGCGTCCTAAAAAGCTTTGGCTTGCTAATGCCTGTCATGCAGTAACATTTCAGAAAACTGGAAGAAGGCCAGTGTGCTCCTTCTCCAAGGACACAGGCTACACACACAAGCAGGAAAGATAGCTGGGGCAATGTGAATAACTTTGGTAAGGCTTTTGTTGACTTATCACTAGATAACCACTCCAAACAACAAATAAGGATTATACAGCTTCAACACTAAACAATATGTAGACTAAAACCTGATGATAGACTAAAAGAGGTTATTGGAGAATAAATATTGAGCAATCTTAATACAGTTTCAGCCCCCATGCTGGTCAACATGTCAATCTAGAAACAAATACAAAATTGTGTATTAAACCTTGAGGACTAGCCAAGCAATAAATAACAAAAACAGTGCAGTCACAGAGCATGATCTTGGCACGCAGGGCCTATTCAAGTAAGATGTGCTGCAGCACAACCAAATATGAAGTCATACATCTAGGAACAAGGACTGCAAACACTGCTGTTGGGGATGCCAGACTGTATCTGAGTCTGCACCAAACTCTGACGCTGCAAAGGATACGGAGGTCAGAGCAGATAAGCAACTCAGCAAAAGACTAGGGACAAGAGAGCTAATGCGATGATGGGATATACAGAAAGAGAAACAGGAGGAGTCTGGAGGAGATTTTATCTCCATATACTGAAAGTATGTGTACAGTGCATTGTTTTAAAATTATATTTAAGTTCTACAGCAAACTTAGAAAAGAGACTGGAAAGACTTGTAGATTGGAGAAAAAATTCTCAGAGAGGGACTGGAAAAGCTTAACCTGTTAAGTTTATCATAAGGTAGATTTAGAGGTGATGGTTCTCAGCATCTCAGAAGCTAGATAAATTCAAGGAAGTAATAAAGCATGACTTTCTTAACAGTAAAGGTAATTAACCTTTAGGTTAATAATGGTACAAGCAGTGCAAAGTAAAAGTAGTGAATTTACAGTGTTATAAATCTTTAAATTAAAACTGAATACTGCATAGATGATTTGCTTCAGGTAAATGCAAGTTTCTGGGCCTGGGTGAAACTGCACAGCCTATTCTAAGAGATCTGACAGGATCATCTTCTAGTTTTTAACTCAACAGATTTATAGTAATACAGGAAAAGAACAGCATAATCTATCAATGCCAGTAACATCTGCATAACTCCTCTTTGCTGAGGTAAGGGTGACAGATTATAAACCATTCTTCTTTTATCTGAAATGTCAAAAGCATTCAGTAATTAAGACAAACCAAAGCTCCAGCCTTCCTTGGCCATCCAGAGGACTTACTCAGAGATGTGTACGAAGATGTCAGGCCCTCCATCTGCAGGGGTAATGAAGCCGTGGCCTTTGGAGCGACAGAAACATTTACAGACACCTTTGTAGATGGGACCCTCTGATGCTCTCACAGTTCTGCAAAAGAAAGCACAAAAAGAGTGGTTCATTGCTGAGCACGGATGTGACAGCTCCAGGTGTGTCAGCCAGAGCACACTAAGCAAATGGGCACAACGGTCCAAATATCCCTCCCAGCGAGTATACTCCTCAGCAGCAACTGCTTAATACTCAGTCTCATACACTGCACGTGTTTTGCCTGTAGCCTTTTTAAGGGAGATAAAGATAATGAAGGTGTTAGACTTGGCAGCACTAGGTTAACAGTTGGACTTGATGATCTTAAAAGGTCTTTTCCAACCTAAATGATTCTATGATTCTATGTTTGCTAGCATTATAATCCATCAGTTGCTATCTTGAATCCATCTGCTGTATCACCCTGCAAAATTTTCTTTTAGACACTATACTAAATGTAAGCATCTCATACCTTTCATGAGTTTGGGAGTACCAATGTACACCCACGTCTTGTATGTGCTTTCACAAGTTTAACAGTAAGCGTGTGCATGTAGTATCAAGAGAATGCAGTACATAAAGACATGTATAAATGTGTACACATATATGCATATGCATATACACACACCCCTTCTGTATGCATGTCTATCATCCTGCCAGACTAGGACCCAGTGAAGTCAGTATTTCACCTCCAAATGACTCCAGCAGCCTATGAAGCCTAACTGGTTTGCATAACACCAAGACTCAAGACTGATCTCCTCCTCCACTGTCATGGGACCTGTATTTTAAAACAAGACAGATCTGAAGACAAACCTTTACGATGACTTACCGCCATCAAAAAAACCCAACTTGCATGAACTATGACCCATCTTGAAAACTGCATGATTAAATCCTTTTCCCTATCAAATATGCTGAGTTGAATCTCCAAGGATCCAAACTCACTCAAATACCTTCATTAATGAAGCCAACTGGTTTAGACATCTTAACAGGGTTTACACAGATCAGGATTTTCTGATGCCATGACTATCCAGCAGGTTGCTTCCATGTCAGGAGACAATTTTGGTGTGATTCTTCAAACCCTGTAAGTGACTGTGTTGCCATTTGGTTACATGCACCATGGCTACTTTGACATAACTTTCCCAAATGTTTAAAGTTTATGGAAGTCTAAATAAAGTCACTAAAAAATGTGGTAAACATCTCTGCTCCTTACATCAAACTAATACTAAAGAAATACCATTGGAAATGTTATAGAAAGAAGAAATCTTCATTAAATTACTTCATTTCCAGCTCTATAAAGCTGTTGATACATCTGACCTCACAAGTGCTTGCTACACAGAAAAGCACTCACAGACCTAAATAAGCCATTGAAGTTCAACTGCATCTTTCAAGGAGATAAAGCACTGTGGGGGATAAGGCCCCACACTTGCAACAAACCAAAATTAAATAATCCCACTGAATAGTAAACCACTGTCTGTCACATTCGTCTTTTCCGTACAACTGTGGGGCCAGAGCTCACCTAGAGCTCCTCTTGTTTGGAGTGGACACTAAAAAAATAACAATAAGCATTTAGAGCTGTTTTGATTTTCAGGGCAAATAAATACAGCAAGATTCCTTTAATGATTAAGGAACTGTGGAAGCCAAATAACAAATTCTTTAGTTTTGTAAGAACCAGACTAGGATTAACAGCTGAGAAGAATTACAAAGGGTTCATTATTAACACAGCACTGAGGCAAGCTAGCTTGGAACTGGTTTTCAAGGGCAATCCCAATTATCAAGTCAATTATGTTCCTTTTAGAAATCTACTTACATTACAAAGTTTAGGGCATTTGAAGGCTTTTGGAACTAACATTAAATTTTTTCTTCTGCTGCTGCTGTTCTTTTTCACCTCATTTTGAATACAGAAGTAATAATACAAAACATCATTGAGATTGATGCTATTTAAATCCACATGGATAACTCCTGAAGCTGGGTAACACTGCAAGAAGCAAAAAGGAAAAAGCATGCCAAATAGATTAAGAAGGATGAAATAGGATAGCTGCGGGTTCGAGATCTTACTTCCACAGTGTTTCACCTGGCTTTGTCAGATGTCCCGTACAGAGAACTAACTGCAAGACTGTGGCAGAAGTGCAGTGGATTGACCACAGCTTCACATTATACCCTCAGACCCTAATTCAAAGGCCACTGAGATTAAAAGTGAAGCCCACATTGCCTTCTGCAAGTCAGCACCTCACTGGGAGACCCATCACAGGCACTGGGAATTTTTTGCAACGGCCAAACCTTGCAACACTGACCTCTGCTGCTGCGCTGCAGAGGAGCCCCCTTCGGGCAGGGGGCTGCCAGGAGCCTGCACGGCACCCTGGGGCCACAGGAAAGCTCAGAGAAAGCCAGCTCTGCTTTAGGGTCACTACCTCAAATAACTACAAGTAGCAACAAACCCCATCTCGTTTTATGGAAAACCTTATATAATCTTAGAGAATCAAAGAGATCCGGGTTCATACCTTGAAAACCAACATATTCTTTTACAGGACTATTTGAGAAATCTCAAGATGGAGATGTGAAAGCTGATAGTAAAAGGAAACAAGCACCCTGAAAAGTGACAGGGTCATGGACCATCCCTAAAATGTAACCTGGCTGATGGTAGCACACGTGTCAGGACTGAAAGAACTAAAACCTCCTGTAAGGTCTGGTCCAGTACTTCAGGGGCAGTAAGAAGAGAGGTTGTGTGAGAGGAGGAGGTGGAGCTGATGAAGAAACACCAACAGAAAGTGGTCCTGAGAGCCACAACCCAGTGTCTGAAGTGAAGCAAAGGTTCAGACAAGAAACTCTGTTTTGAAAAATCGCAGTGTATTTCCCCCTCCCTGTAAAACCCTGGTCTTAAAGAGTGGAAAAGACTTTGAACATCCTTTTACACAAACAGAGCACTGAAAAACTACATGAAATTTGGAATAAATGTCTAATGGCATCAGAATTTTTTGTAGAAGAGATAACAGTAAAAGACCAAAGCATCTTCCAGATACAACCATCCCTCTCCCCCCGACACCCTTCGCCTTGTCAGGAGGCCAATCGTTCTGCCCAAAGGCAATTGTTTTGTTGCAGGTTTCCCAGTACTCACGCTGAAAATGTCCTGGTCCGTCGAGTGGGCAGCGGACTGGGGATGAGGTACCCTCTCATGGGCGATGGGGAGCGATCTCTTGCCCTGCGGTTTTCAGGCAGATGGAGGGAACTGGGTGAGGATGGAGAGGTGGGGGACTGCTGCGAGGCAGATGAAGTGGGCTCAGAAGACATTCCTGATGCCTGAGAAAAACCTAGAGAGAGGAAGAGATCTGACTTAGCCCAAAATGGGAGTTTTCATAAAAGTCACAAATTCTTCAGCTGATGATTTTGTAAGAATATGACTCACTTCCTGAAGACGTACGTGCAGACACAGTTGCACCAAAAGCTCCTGCTCTATGCCAGTGAGTTCATTTTTTTTGAGTTTATTTTTAAATCTCACAGCCTTTGTAAGCTGTACTAGGAAGCTCCACTGAAAACAGATTACTCCGCAACTAACACGCAACTAACTTACTCCTGCCTCACTCACAGGCAATGGCTCCTGAAGCAGAGCTCAGCCCCAGTACTAGGTATCAGTGTGCCCCACACGGCTCCTGAACAGTTGAGGTTTGACCACTAACAGCTCAGAGGAGCCCCCTGCATCTGCACACAAACACGTTACAAGAAAGAAACAGTAGAAGAAGAAATGCTGAAATAAAGGCTGCACATCCACTGCTGAAGGTTAGTTTTGCTGTGCAATCACCGATGCTAACTTCACTGCTGTTGCTTCAGCTATTAGCACAGCTCTGTCACAGCTCTTAACACCTTCAGTTTGACTGCAAGAAGAAAATCATACAAGAGCTCCTTAATTCACTTCAGACAGAGTCAGACAGTTAATTTTCTCTGCCAAAGACAGGATCATAGACAAAGCCAGGAGGCAGTGGCTGACTCGGAGGAAGTGACCCCTCCAGCCTGCAGCAATTTAGCAGACCCAGCAGTCCCCTTTTGTAGGTCTGAGCCTGCCACAATCTTCCAGCAACTAGGAAGCCAACAGTCCACATTTCCATTCAGACACCCAGCAGCCCACATCAGATTTGCAGAGGAGGGAGAAGGTCCCTTTCTCAGCACACCACCAGCAATACACGTCTCATCACACAATGAGCAAAACACAGAATCCATGGAAAGAGAAGGACTGATAAGAAACAGCAGCACTTCTATGTACACAAATGCATGGCTCATAGGCGCAGCAGTGACAGAAAGAGAGAAATCAACCAGCACTGCTCTGGTATTACTGTGCAAGTCCGTGTCTGCACTGAAAGGCAAATAAGCTGTACGAAAATAACCAATAACCCACCACACTCTTACTTAAGAAAAATATAAAAATATCTGGGTATCTGGATGAATTAGGAAGAAGTGTGGCGATTTGGATCAAGAAAATATGAAGGCAAGAAAAGCTGCCTTTAAGGCCAATAGTTTCATTGAACTGAAATCTCTCATATCCATTATCCACCCTCCTTTTGACACCCACACTCCCTAGCCCATGAATTATGGAGTGGATCCTTCATATGACATTTGAAAGATGCAGCCTTCTTGTCAGTGACAAATTCCCATTATTTCTTCCTGAAACTAAGGACTAAAATTAAAAAGGCCTCTTAAGAATGAAGTCACCAGGGAACAAAGGCTTTTGTGTTTAATTGCTCAGGGTGCTGAGAAGGTAGAAGCGGATAATCATGTTCCCTTGTGTACCAGCTTGAGCTTTCCACACTGTTCTCAAGAGCAACAACTCAGCTGAAAACAAACCACAGCTTTACGGATGGTGTTTGCCACCCAACAAGCTAATGCCCTGCCCAGCGTCATGGCACAGCATTCAGCTGAGACTGAGATGATAACACCAAAGGGACAGGATTTTCCAACCTTCCTCTTCCTCCAAAGAGGCCTGCTGTGCTGGATGGTACTGAGGAATTCTCCTCAGATTTCAAAAGACCTCTCCTTTGGGTGCCTTGCTTTCAAGGAATGCATGTTTGTGCATGTTTCTTCACTGAAAGGGTTATCAGGCACTGGAACAGGCTGCCCAAGGAAGCAGTCGAGTCCCCATCCCTGGAGGTATTTAAAAGATAGGTAAGCAAGGTGTTTAAAGACATGTTTTAGTAGTGGACAGGTATGGTTGGGCTCGATGATCTTAAAGGTCTTTTCCAATGACTCTATGTTTGACATAGCAGGACTATAACTCCACTAAGTCACAGGAAAAATAAGAGCAAACAATTCAAACCTCATTCTGATAACTCAGCACACATGGTCTGGTCTTTGCGCAAGTGAAAACGCAGCTTTCAGAACCACACACTTTCTCTACTAACCTAAACCAGCTTGCCAGGTGACAAGCACAATGCAGAGCAATTCATCCGTCCATAGCATCCATAGCAATAAAGTGGAGCCAACCACAAAGTACTGCCCATCCCTTTCCTCAAACAAGGGTAGAAAGGCAGGAGAATTTTCCCTCCTTTCTTTAAAATACAGATGAACCACAAAATTATTTACAAACAAAGAAGGCTAAATGGAGTTAGAAGTGTGCTAACATACGTTATTCCCATTTATGTTATTTTTGTGCCCTCTGCTCTGTAAACATACAATAAAACAGTGATGTAGAACATTCAGTGCCATTCCACTGTACAAACACCCTTTTTGTTCTCTGCCCACGGCCAAAGTAGATGAATGGCCTCAACTCTCATAATTTCTATTACACAAGTCCTAAATTGTGATCAGAACTTGGTGAGAGCTGATACACAAATGCACGCAGCTGGAGGCAGCCAGGGGCAGCTACGCTTGACTTCATACCCGCTGCAGCAAATGAGTACATCTCAGAAAAGGAGGGGATGCAAACAAGCAGCAATAGGAAGCCTGTGGCTACACTACAGCTCAGCAACATTCAATATCAGCATGTATGTTGTATCACTGCATGTGCAAGTGCACATCCATTTGCCTCTTGGGCTTCTCCAACAATCATAAAAATCAGACACAGCTAAAAGGATTGCACACTGAATTACCAAGTTTTACCACATACACTGCATACAACCGGATGACAGCAGCTCCTGCGAACCTCCGCTCAGCTTACTCAGTGCAGAAGATCACTTCATTTGAACCTTTTTGAAGACAAAGGTGGAGTTTAGCTATTTCTGTTTGTTCTGGTGTGGCCAATGTCTTGACATTGCTCATACAGGATTAACTCATTTCCATTGGCAGCACTCTTGAAGGAGCAGAAACACTATCCCCGCTTGCACATGCAGCTGGAGGCACAGTTTACACAGGAAGCCTACAGCAAACCCTCAAACCAAAACCCCACGGCCCCAGCCCTCCCAGCCTTCCTCTTCACACAAGTTTTGCCTTCCAAATGCAGTTACTAGTAGTCTTCAAAGACGCTTTTCAGATGTTATCCTGGGTTCTGAGCAGACCCTCTGCAAATCAAGAATCACCCTTGGGACTCAGACAGCTGCCTACCAGCCCTTCCTCAGCAGCCACAAATGCCTTCCCCTCTTTGTGACTAACTGAACAAACCCACTTACTTATATCTCTAACCAGCCCACCACCTCCCACTCTGTTTCCCTCCAGTCCAGCCACCACTCTCCACTTTCTCATGGCAAGGAGGACATCACACAAACCCCAGACAGCACCAATGGAGCACCCCACCTGAGCTCCCCATGAGCATCCTGCTCGCTGTGCTTTGCCAAGGCAGGCAGTTCTTTGTAGCAGCAAATCATAGCTACAAAAAAGCCCAGCAGCGTGAGATTCCAGCTATGACAGAGATGAGGGACAATACAGATAGTATGTCTCTTCTGCCTGAGCCAGCAAAATATTTGCCTTTGGGTATTTACAGAATGAATGTAATGTGACGCAAGGTGGTGGTATTTTCAGACTCTTTAGGAAACTCCAACCATGTGCCACCTCACCCTTAAGTCGACCCATATTTCAACATGCATCATTTATCTTTCACCAGCACAATTTTTTAGTATTTTTTTTTTTAGACTTCAAGTATGCACCAAACTGAAATATAAATAAAATAAAATCACAGAAGCATCATGGAAATAGACAAATTTAACATTTCAAAGCGAAATTTTTTTAACCATACTTTTTTCAGAACAATTGGCCAAAGTGTACACAGAGACCCAAAATGTCATCTGTAACAGGTGACCTACCAAGCACAGAGTGCAATACATGCTGGAGAAATTTCTGAAATTCTCCATAAAATACTTCAACAGATTTTTTTGGTAGTAATTAAGGTTGGGGGTATGTAAGTGCCACCACCATTTCTCTGTATATCCATATTTTTTTTCTATTCTTCTTTAAGTCTACCTCATACCTCTAAAAATACCCTAAAAATAGCAGTTTGGGGAAGTTATCTATTCTGGCCAGAACAACACTACCACAGAAATCTGGCCTCACTTTTAATTAAAAGGAAATGCCTGGAAAGAAGTCAAAATGGATAGGGCAGGGTGACAGACTTGAGGAAATCTCTCCACCTATGAATGATTTCTTTATCATAGAACAGACATTGCAACACCTCCAGTGAGCACAGAGCTCATCCCCAGGAAGTGTTGATCTGCATTCTTCAATGCTCCAGCCCAGAGAGAAAGCTCTTTCTAAGCCTCCTTAGCCTGGAAATGACACTGTCTGGAGGAGCTGCTTTCAGAAGGTACCACGATGGCCTATGAACAGGAGAGCCGCACATGCCTGGAAAAACAGGCATTTCCTCAAAGAGAGAGCAAAGTTTCTGTATCCCAAGAGCAGCTGCTTTCAGCTGGTTTTGCCGGAAGTTAGCTCTTTCATTTCAACCTCTACAAGGAATGTGGACATCTGAAAATTTGTTTGTTTTCCGGGCTTTCCTTGGATTTAGAAACAATGTCAAGAACTTTTTAAGTGACTGACTTTTAAATGTCCTGTTTTCCAAATTTATTGTACACAGCTGCATTCTTTAGCTTCTCTAAGGAAGCCGTGCAGATAAACCCCTGAGCTTTGCCTGCTCTACTGCTGACAGCTACAAGCTCTTCTCAGAAAGAGAACAAACATGGCTTGATGGCACACAGTGAGCACTACAGACTGATTCTGCTTCAAAGTGCCCTTTCCCAACAGTTTGTCCCTTACTCTCATCTACTGAAAGAGTGAAAGCACCGGGACCCTCTGCTCCCTGCATTACCTTGCCCTGATAAGGAGAAGAACTGGGGGTGCTTGGTTCCCAGGGGTGCCCACAGTTCTTCTAAAGCAGCTCCCAGCTCCACGGCACCTC